CAGCAGCTGGGCTCCCCCCTTGGTTAACAGGCTCGTTTGGGTGAGGTGGTGCCTCAAGAGCACCTGTGGGCTTAGAGATCCTGGTTTAGGAACGCTGGGTTGGGGCAGAGGTCTGTGGGTCCAACCGTTTCCCAGGCCACCTGGGAATGAATGCAGTGGTTTAAACCTGCACTTAAGTCACCTGGGGCAGATTTAAACCCTACAGAGACACCCAGGGCAAGGCCCACGCGTCAGTGCCTTCAAATGGTTGCCAGGTGACCCTACCTTGCAGCCCAGGCTGAGGGACACCGTGAACTTCCTCATAAAGTTAGCATCCATGGGAGGGATGCCTGTTGTCAACATGGCTCCGCAGCCAGCCAACCCTCCGGGTCATCCTGGGACCAAGGGGCTCCAGGATGTGTAGGTCGCCTGCAAGGACTTTTCCTGTGCTTCTGATGGGGCTTTGTCAGGACACCGCATGTGTCCTACCACATAATGCAATTGACAGCCCTATGGACGCAGAGCTTTTGAGCTAAAACTGCGAAAGTCCCCGGCAAACCAGGACAAGTTGGTCATCCTCGTCCTCACACCTGCCTCAAACTAGCAATGACTAGGCCTGGACTTCAATGCATGCATTTTCGAGAGTAGCAGCTGGGGTGTCCATCGGTTTCTTGCAGGGGCCTGTAACCCCCCAAGGATGATCATGCTGCTTTCCACCCTCATCTGCAAGGCATGCTCCACCAGTGCACCAGATGAAAGCCGGCAGTGGCCCCATACAGCCATGTGTATGGAGGGAATGGGATTCCTGACATCCATCCCAAGATGAGGTGCTGCCTGCAGGGCAGGTCTGGGAAGAGATGGCTCAGCAGCTGTGATGTCATTGGTCAGCTGGAGAACAGTGGGCACCGACCGTGGCTGATGTGAGTGTTGACTTTTCGTTTGGTTTGGGGGAGGGCAGTTGTGGCTGCTACAGGAACATGAGGAAATCATTTGAAAACATCCTTAGAGGTTGACTTGTCCTTGGGCTTGGACATGTTTATTCAGTAAACATTTACTGAGCACCTACTGTGTGCTAGGAATTTTATAAGGCACTCAAGCAAAGACAGCAACACAGCAGGTGTTGATTGGACTCTGGCACAGACCCCCTGGGGTTTGAATCCTAGCACTGCCTTTACTGGCTGTGTGACCTTGGCCAAGTCACTGAACCTCTCTGGGCCCCCATCCCTTAATTTGTAAAATGGAGTCAATAACTCCAGCTGTTGTGAGGAAATGATGCCTAAGAACGGTAAGTCGGGGCCAGGACTGAGTAGGTGGCGGCACACTCAACCCCTCACCAGCCTTTGTGGGGTTCAGGGCTTAGGCCATTTGTGGAGTGAGCCAGCATCTGACACGTCTGAAGGTTGCAGGAAGTACTGGGTATGCAGGGAAGCCATCCCACCTAGGGGAGACCCGAAGCTCCAAAGGGGAGTCAGACACAGTAATATTGGCATCAACTTCTGAAGCATTTCAAAGTACCCAGAAGAATTCATAGAAATTCAAAAGGGTTTCTAAGAGTTGCTATCAAAAAAGTGCTATGTACTTCCTCCTAACCGAGTAACATCTTTTTCCCTTCAAATACACAACATCAAAGATACATTAAAAATACACGTTCAACTTATTCAATTGCTCTTTTCGGAAAAAATAAAAAAATTGACCATGCCTCCCCATAGTGACACTCCCTTTTGGAGAGCACTGTGACACCCTGCAGGACCCGGGATGCCTCTGAGCTGATTGGAGGGCACACAGAAACCCCTCAACATCCCAGGCCTCGCGGCATGCCACTGCCCACCAGGACCAGGGCTTCTGGAGGAACTGCTGGGCTGATCCGGCAGGCATGGTGACGACTCAGAACCAGACTCAGCTGCTGGGACAGAAGGAACCACCACGGCTGGGTTTGAAGAAGCATGCTGGCGTGACACACAAGAAGTACAAAGAAGCCAACCTCAAGCTGACCGGAAGCAGACAGGACATAGAAAACAGACAGGACACAGGAAACAAACAGGAAGCAGGCAGGAAACAGGAAACAAACAAGAAACAGGTGACAGGAGCAGACAGGAAGCAGCTAGGACACAGGAAGTAGACGGGACACAGGATGTGACAGGAAACAGGAAGCGGATAGGACACAGGAAGTAGATGGGACACAGGAAGTGACAGGAAACAGGAAGCGGATAGGACACAGGAAGCAGACAGGAAGCCGACTGCTCATGGAGCCACAGTTAATATTCAGAACTTCCGTCTTCCACTTGCCATCATTGGGAAGGGGTGCTCCATAGAAATACCTCTTCGCCTCATTTTTTGATAGATATTGTCACTATGGCTTTTGGCTTTGCTCTCTTGTTACTCTGTTTTCATGTGGGGATTCAAGGAAATACTTCAAAAGTATGTCGCCACAGCCTTCATCTTCCTAGAACCCCTTCCCCTTGCTTTCAACCACTTGTCCCCAGAATTGGTCATCATTGTGGTCACTATCCCATTCAGCCAGAGTTTGGGCAAACTTGCCCTCACGGTTTCCAGTTCCTTCGCCCTTCCACCTTACAGCTCACTCCTTCTTTCGGAGTTCAATTTCCTTCTTCTGGGACTATGCCCTTCAACACTTCTCTCAACAAAGACCGGTCCGTGATAAACACCCGTGATCTTCGCCTGTAAAGATCCTTTTCCCTGCTCTTTGCAATAGTTTAGCTGATGATATCATTCTAGAGGAATCTATTGTTTCATTGCCTTCTGGCTTCCAAGGTTGTGTTTGACAAGTCGGCTGTTGGCTGTCCCTTTGCAGGGAATGAGTTTTAAACTGCGCACAGTAAAAAGCTGCCACTAGTAACAAGATGAGCATTGAGTGAGAGGCAAAAATCATAGTCAAAAGGGACGAGGTGCGTTTTCAATGGCAAGGAGCTCTCCCAGCGTTAGGTGAGGAGCAGCAGATGGTCCCACGTGGAGACCAAGTGCTAGGCCTATCGGGAGCCCCACTCCTAGTGGCACAGGGATGCCTCTGGCCTCCAAAAAGCCAAGTTGGGGGCTGTTCCAATGTCCTCCCAGGTGTTTCCCAGAGCCCTGCCCCAGCCTCCTTCCTCCCCCCAGGGCGCTTTGGCCCATTGATGGGCTTTCTGCTCTGTCCTCCCCTGGGCCTTCATCTGCAGGCCCTCGAGTCTGGACATTTTTCCACCTGCCACGTGCACCTCCACTCATTTTGGCTTTCTTCTAGTCTCAGCTCACATGATGTCCTCCATGAGCTCTCCCCCAACCAACCCCAACTTGTTCGTACCCCCACCCCAGCCCCCTCTCCATCAGCCCTGAGGAACACTATCCAATCTTCCCATTCTGCCCATTGTTTTACTTGTCCTCAGTGTTTCTGCAAGCCCCATAAGGGTAAGGGCTCCAAGGGTCACATCCACCGTTACCCCCCTCAACATGTAGATGATCGAGCCATGGTCAAGGAGACCTCTGGCCTAAGGATCCCAGGCTGAAATCTAGCATGAATGAACCCAGCTCCCTCCTGAATTCCCACTACAGTGGCAAGGAAGGAACAAGGACACAGACAACAGGACTCCATAGTCACATTTTGGGACCTGACACTGATGTACAAGTGGTAATCCTCTTAGCAAATTCAAGACAGCAAGTTCCTACAAGGTAAGGGAAGGCCAGGGAAAGCCTGGTTACCCCATGGAACATCCCTGAGCTCAGGGAGACTGTTTGGAGCTATACCAGGGTAGAAGAGTTTGGGGGTCAGAGGGGACCTTCAAACACAGTCTCAAACATTCTTGTGTTCCCTCGGGCAGAACCCCCCACCTCTAGCCCCATTCAGCTCCATCATCTAACCCAGGGTAAGGGGCCCTTCTTCTCAGGGTTGTTCTGAAGAGGGACAGTGGCCTTGAAGTGCCTTGGCCTAGGTAGTGCTCCATCGGTGGTCATTTAAGGATCACAAGAGCCAGGTGACGGGCCAGCGGTGACCTTGAGCCAGGTCAGACACCTCAGCCCCATACGGGCCCACCCTGGAAAAGGAACTGAAAATGACACCACCCAGCAGGCCTGAGCTTTGCAGGTGAGGCCATCCAGAGGCCACGCTGGCCCTCACAGCCAGACTCCCAACCCATGCACTGGCCCTCACAGCCAGACTCCCAACGCAGCATCCCCTTCCCCTAAGGTGGGGAGGGCCTCCCAGGAAGTCAGCAGGAAGACACTACCACCAGGGGCTTTATTTAAGCTGCTCTGAATTTTAAGCTGGTTTGTTCAAGCCTTCTTACTACCAAAGGCCCTCTTCCTGTGACAGCCCTTGACCTCTAGTGAAGCTCTAGAAGGCAACTTCCCCTCCCAGTTACAGCTGGACTACTCAAAGGCCACCTCCCACCCTCGGCACACTCCAGCACAAAGGCTCCTGGGAGACCCCTTTGCCTGCCCTCTGTGCAGCTCATCACACAGGCTGTTCAAGGATTCATTTGCTGCTCCAGGCAGGGTCTCCAGGGATCAGTGAGGAGACCTAATGCGCAGAGCAGGTGGGAGAGCAGCAGGACAGTGGGATGCGAGCCCCCAGGGAGCCTGCTGGGGCCAGCATGACGCTCCCTCCCTGGCACTGGCTCCATCGTTCTTTCTAGATTAAAAGGCTGAGAGTGGCCAGGGAACCAAGGCCATCACTCAAGACCTCAGTCCAGGAGCTCAGAGCTCAGTCTGCCCTTCCCAGGCTTGCGGCCACCCACTCCAAACAACACTGACAATTTCAAAGAGGGGAGGGCAGGTCCCAGAAGAAAAGTAGCCATGGGGACTTGTTGGTCCAGCTTCCGTAATGGGATTTTATACTCCTAAAAATCTCATCAAAAACCAAATATCTCACATCACCAGACCCTGCATTTTGGCTATGATATCCCCTTAAACAATTTATCCTCGCCATTTCATTTATACCCAAAATATATTGACGTCAGACACTTGGGAAAAACTATGTTTCAAACAACAGGTATTTTCATTTAGTTACCAAAGAACCGACCACAATGGAGTTCACGTAGGCTGCTCGTTTATTAGCACTGGTGATGCAACATGACTGTTTCCAGTGAAGACGCTGGGCGGTGTGGATCTGGCGGAGCAAGGTGAGGCCCAGACGGGTGAGAGGTGAGCTCCTCTATTTCTTCCACTCGTCCTTGTCGTAGTCCCACTTGGCTGAGAAGCCCTGAATCGGGCTGACCTTCATGTCGAGCATCCTCTTGGTCTGCTTGGCCACCCAATCGTCTTCAAAGGTGTGCGGGATGGGGCCGTACACTAAAGCCCAAAACAATTTCATGAGACAACACTGTCTTGACGAGTCGTTTCTAAGCCCACGGGTCATTCGGGTCAGGTGTTCCCCAACACAACACACTGGCCGCCAGGCTAGTGAAGTCACCTGCCACTCCACACCAACACCAAAACACACACAGGCTTCGAATTCTGGGCACTGATAACGCCTGGTATTATTCCTTTGTGGATAAAAGATTAGCAATAAAATACAAACTAGGAGCAGAAAGTCTCCTCCGTAGGATGCAGACAATGGAGTCTACCGGCTAGCACAGGGCACAAACAGAGCCAAAAGTGACTAGACTAGTGAGATCAAATACATAGGTATGAGTAACCCATGTCCACAGCAGACCAGAAGTACAAGATTATCGCTGTTTGGAATGGGAAAAACCCATTCTACCTGGACACGAAGAACCCAGCGAGGCAGCACGGAATGAGCGGACAACCCCGACACTGTCTAAGCAGAAACTGTGAGGTCTGAAGACCTAAGACTCTGCTTACCGAGATGCAGTCCCCATACAACTGAAATAGCCCTTCGATGAAAATCCATGCCCTTTTCCTTGATCAAACCTTCACTACACCACCTTTTGACAATTGTGTGGTGAGCCAATAAAGCACCACAGAAAGGTGGTGTGCCATACAAAGTAGGGAAGTCATTCACTACAGAGCACAGCTTGCCATGAATAAGTCAGAGTCTGGCTTACACTTCCATTAACATGAGCTGGTTTCTCAAAGCTAGCGAACAATCCTGGAATAGATCTCAGAATGGAGGTGCCTGTCGTGTGCACAGGCGCCCACAGTCCACTCACCGGCCCTGGCCCCAATCCAGGTCTTGTGTGGTTGCAACCCGAGACTCCAGGCCTACAGCCCCTCTCCACTCACCATAGTGCTTCTCCCAAATCAGAATGAGGGCAGTGAAGCCGATGAAGAACATGGCGGTGCCCACAACCGTCTTCCATTCATTCGTGCTCCTGTTCATTTCAGCAAAGCTCTCGTTGAACTTCATGCGGTACACTGGAAAGAGAGCACAGGCATTTGTGGGAATGAGGGCAGCTGCGCCCCTCCTTGCAGGGCTCCCCTATTTCTCCAACATAGCCAAGAGACAAAGCGTGCATGCACGTGCTCACACACGGGTACAAGGCATGATGAAGGGAAGAAAATGCACGGAGTCTACTTTGGGCATAAAAAACATCGACTTCTTTCTTCTTTAGGTTACAGCGTAGGATCTGCAAAATCCCGTAACTTTCACTCCCCTTTCCCAACTGACAGCATTTTGCTGTGCTGACGTTCCATCAGTAAGTTACAGTGAACCCAGTCCTACTCAGCAGAGGTGCCAAGAAGCTGCATCCACACACTCCACAGCCGACTGACCCCTACCTCGCTGCTCTGTGTCCACGTCCATGCTCCCCCCTGGAGACCAAAGCCCCCTGAGCACAGACACAGAGGCCTGAGCAGAGGCGCAGCCAGCCCAAAGAGCCAGGGCCCTGGATCAACCCCGCACCACAGGACACAGCACACTGGGCCTCCCAAGCACGCTGGTCTCAGGGCAGCACCCTCCATCTCGCAGCCCAGAGACCAGTCAAAATTCTCTCACACAGTTTGCCAATATTCCTGCTTCAATACCCACATTCAACTTTCTCATCAATGGAGAGGCTGCTCCAGGGAGCCTTCTCCTTCTCTTTCAAGGCCTTCTGGCTAGCAGAGAGGTTCTTGACGTGGGCCACGTCGGGCAGGGGATAGTCACGCCGGTCGACGTAAGTCGGGAGAGCATAGTCTTCACTCTTCACGACGCTTCCTACAAAACACAGTGGACAAACATCTGAATATTCACATAGGTTCGGAGTTACAAAGCAAACTGAGTACAGGCCCGTACAGCCTGAAGACCTCAGTCATCCTGGCGAGCTGCAGCCGCGTTTCAAGCAGCTCAGGGACTGTCGTGCGAAGGAGGGAGTGAGCAGGCCTGTCCCCCGTGGCCCGGACAGCAGAACGAGGGGTAACAGAAGCACTTCATCACGGCCAACACGCATCTTCCAGGGCAGCTGTCCACAGAGGCAGCATCGTCTGTGGCTAACAGTGCCACACAGAGGGCACACGGTCGGCTCCCAAGACGCCTACTGGACTCAATGGGGGCCCTTCTGTAAGACTCACACTAAGAACGAGAAGTAAAAACAACAGAAAACTCATAAAAGAACGAGTGTTTAAAGGTCAGAAACCGAGACATATGGCACTGTCATTAGAATAAAAACACATAACCTGTGTCCATGAGAGGCTGGAAGCAACGGGCTCCACAGATGTATCATAGAATCACTCATTCACAAGTCCGAGGTTACTGAGCACCTACCACCTGCTGGTCGCGGCTCTAGACATGAGATCAGGGAACAAAGATCCCTGGTGCAGACATGCTAGAAGCGGGACACACACATGGGAGTCAGGGGTCGCAGAGCGAGGGCTCAAGAAAGAGAAGAGGTGGAGCAGAGGAAGAGAATCGGGGGCGGGTGCATATGCAGTGGGGAACAAGACCCAACACTCAGGGGAGTAAGGCAGCTCAACATGGAGTCGTGTACTTGGCGAGTCACCGAATACAGGGCTTGCTCTTTTTCTAAGAGCGTAAACTGTGTGTGTGTCCTTATACGTACATGTAACTGAACACACAAAATTCCTGGCAGGGTAAAGCCCAATAGTTGTCAGTGGGGAGAGGACAAAATGGGGATTTCTGATCACAGAGACAGAAATTTCAGTGCCTTAAGAGAAGCACGTATTTGGGTATTACTCAAGGAAAGAGAAAAACAGTTCAGAAAGCAGAAAAGAAAGGAATAGCTTTATTTTCATTTTGGGGTTTCCCTAAATAAAGCTACTGAAAGCTGCTTTTTCAATTCTATCCTACATCTGCAAGAAAATTTTGTGATCCAAACTGGTCTGGAAGTACGAAGTCCTGCAGAAACACTTCACTTCTATTAGCTTAGTACCAACGATTAAATTCTCCCAAATCATGTTAACAAAAGTAAAAAAATCATTTAACCTCAAAGTAGAATTTCTCTAAATGCTTAACTGTGCCATGTAAATGACCAGCATACTTACATATATTCGAGCTTTTCCCCAAAAAATTTAAGGTGAAAATGACCAGAATTACTTTCCAATTTTAAAATTCTAAAGTCCTATCAAAATGAGTGGACTAAAAAGAAGAGCTGTACACTAGCATGTTAATTACTAAAAACAGAGGCAAACTGGAGTAATGAGAACATTCTAAATCTGACTGTGGTGGTTAGGACACAACTCAGGGACTAAAGTGAAAACCACTCAAGTGCACACTTTCAATGGGTGAACGTCTGCTGTGTGAATTACATCTCAATAAAGTTATAAAAAGGCAAATACTCAGAACCCTGGAGCACCCGCAGCATAAAATTGCATGTTCTAGAACAAGAGTGGCCAATCTGCAGTCTCAGGGCTGCCAGAGCTCTTCAGTACTCTGGGCCTGGTCCTCCACACCCTGCAAAGACTAGCATACCAAGCATTCCTTTTAAAGGGAGGGAGGAAGAGAGAGACTTTCGCATCTCGTCATCTGTGTCCACAGCTGGCTTTCTCACGGAGCCTCTGCTGAGGAGGTCCAGGGGATGGGAGCTGCCCCCTCAGTCGGACATGTCACCACACAAGCATCCCAACTCCATGGTGGCCACCAGTAGTGCTCCACGGTGATTTCTATGTGGAACCGGTCTGTGTATTCAGGTACAACCTGCATGGCTAAAAGCTAAAAATAAGACTTGTTCAGCAGACTGTGGTGGTGGCCATCAGCCTACGGTGTGAAGACACAGGAATGGAGGAGGCTGGACATCAGCCCCACAGAGCTTGCACTCCAGAAGCAAAGGCAGCAATACACACAAACCGCAGTATGTCCCCGCTCCCAGCAATGACAAAACAGGGTGATGTAGGACAGGCAGCATCTTCACAGTGGGTGGCGAGGAAAGGCTGTCCTAAAGTAACGGCTGCATTGAGGCTGACGAGTAGGAGAAAGCTCCCACCCACAACCCCGGCACTGAGGCACAACAGCCCACTGCCTGCAAGGAACCGTACTGCTGGGGGTTGGGATGCTGAGCAACCCGGGGGGCTGGTTTGCCTATGTCGTTTGCCTGCTGGAATAAAGTGTGATGACATCAGAAGGGCTAGCTGCAGATCTTACCCGAGGCACAAGAAGCCACTCAAGGATTTCAAAAAGGAACAATTTTAATTTCCTCTGCCAAAACAATACCTAGGACTAACTTATGGCAATACCACCATAAGGAGAAAGAAGTTGGCTTTTTTTTTTTAAAGATTTTATTTTTTTTGATAGAGACACAGTGAGAGAGGGAACACAAGCAGGGGGAGTGGGAGAGGGAGAAGCAGGCTTCCCACCGCGCCCGACGAGGGCCTCGATGCCAGGACCCTGGGATATCATGACCTGAGCCGAAGGCAGACACTTAACGACTGAGGCACCCAGGCGCCCCAAAAGAAGTTGGCTTCTTATAAAAAACCAGAATGACCAAAGGGACACAAAGGAACTTTGTCGGGGGGGTGATGGAGATGTTGTAGGTTCTGACTGGTGTCACTGTTACACAACCATGGGAGCTTTTCAAAATCCACAGAACATTACACCTAGAAAGAATACATTTTACTTTCCACAAACTGCACCTCAAGCTAAACAAACGAAAAAGCTAAGAAAATATACAAACAAAGCCAAAATAGAAACAAAACAAAATCTGTCATAAATGACTTCCTAGGCTTCTAATGAAGAAGTGTTTCTTTCCATATGTACTAAACAAACTTTTATTACTTACTCATTTAAATAACAAATTATCTCAATAATACTCTTACTAAAATGATCTGTGTCAGGCACCTGGGTGGCTCAGTCGGTTAAGCGTCTGCCTTCGGCTCAGGTCATGATCCCAGGGTCCTGGGATTGAGCCCCACGTCGGGCTCCCTGCTGAGCGGGGAGTCTGCTTCTCTTTCTCTCTCTCGCTAACTCGCTCTCTCTCAAAATAGAGTAAAATGTTAAGAAATAAAATAAAATTATCTGCATCCACGTGTTATCCTGGGCAATGTAAGGAATAGAGGGAAATGTAAGACAACGGTATTAGCAACTCAAGGACACAATTTCAAGGAAAAATTCACACATAAAGCAGTTACTGATTATTGAGCCCCGAGATCTACGAACCTTGCTCTCCAAGTTCATTATCACTACTCAAGCCTTGCACCTGACCCCTAGCTAACACAACCTGCCACACAAATTTGCATTTTTGCCATAGCCGTCTGAATATAAAGTTAAACCTATGAGGTTAGAGGTGCCTGGGTGGCTCAGTCAACGAAGCGTCTGCCTTCAGCTCAGGTCATGATCCCCGTGTGCTGGGATCAAGCCCCACAGCCCGCTCCTCGCTCAGCAGGGAATCTGCTTCTCCCTCTGGCTCCTCTACCACTTGTGTGCATGCGTGTGCGCTCTCTCTCTCAAACATATAAATAAAATCTTAAAAAGAAAAAAAAGGAAGAAAGAAAAAGAAAAACCCTATGAGGTTAAACCTACAAATCCTTCAGCACAGTGAAGTCTCTCCTCCAGAAACCATTCCTGAACCCTAGGCCAGGCTAAATGCTTCTCCTCAGGGGCTGTCACTTACTCAAACACTGCCTTTATGTATCTGTCTCTCTCCTGATTGCAAAGGTCCTGTGGAAAGATTCCATCTTGTATTCTTTTTATTCTCAATGCCTAACAATATTTGGTACAAAGATGTGCAATAAATGCAAAACTAAACTTGCTATGTGCCAGGCACTGAACTAAGCTCTTTATAAGTATTTCAGGTGAGAAAACAGATTCCTGCATGTAAGTAGGTCGTCCAAGACAGAAATGAGATTAAACTCTGCTCAGGCTAGGAAGTCCAAGCTCCTTCCCTTCCATTGCCCCAATAATGTAAATGGTATTGAAGAATATTGGCTGAGTGTTTTTTTTGCGGGAAGAGAAGAAATCATTAAAGTCAAGTATGGTGGAGATCTCTTGAAAGGGGTGGAACTTGAACCTGAAAAAAGGGGGAAGGAAAGGAAAAAAGAGGAAAGAAATAGCATAAACAAAGATCCAGACTGGTATTCGATATGATTTATAAATATTCTGTAATCTAGAAGCGTGCCCTGTTAAAATATTTTTACCCCCCCAAAAGTCCCACAACAGCAGAATCAGGATCTCAGCCACCTTAGGCCATCTGTGTTTGACACTGCAGGACGAGGGCTTACACATAGTGGGAGCAAAAAGAAAGAAAAGTTACACTTACCATGTGCTCGTACACACACTGAGGTGGAAACTGCTCGCTTGCCAATTAGGCTAAACACTCTGATAGCCAACATTCTGAAAGATAAAAACGTACACCCTCTCCATGAATGAGGGCAAACATCTATTAGGAATTCCAGTGCATTTTACTTTTTTTGTTTTCTTCCCCCCAGCATAGATGATCCCTTCTTCCTTACTGACTCTAATTCACAACATAACCTAAGATGAGGTTTTTCATAGTAGTCAACATGTTTTTACAGGGCTTCATTATAAACCAAATGCCGTAACATATACACACTACAGGAAATTAGTAAAAAACTGGCTTTCTTAAAAAAACAAGGAGAAGCAGTTTTCCTAAGACTGAAAAAGCTAGAAACCCTACAGCGCTGAGCTGCCATGATAGCTCCACTGTTTGGCAGAAAAGAATAAACAGCTCAAAGGGACCAGCATGCACTGCACGCAATTGAGTATTTGATTAAAAACCTAGTATGTGCGTAGGATAGGAAGGGAAAGGCAGGCAGAAAGGCTGCAAATATGGCCTGGTCCACTTCCAGTCCCTGCGGACAACGTATGACCTGGATGACCCACCTCTCACCTGGGCCCTTCCAGCTTCGGGCCCTTTTCCCCTAGCTCCCCCTGCTTTAAAACTGGCCCTTTCAGGGGGCTGTTGACGAAAAGGACTCCTAACGCATTAGGAAAATACCCGCTTTGAGAGAGAATAAACAGAAGCATGACGTCAAGGCTGAATTTTAGCTCGCACCCCGCGTCTTCTCTCCCCGGGCCTGGCCCGCGCGTGGGCGGACGCTGGGCGGCTTCTGTGATGAAAGGCGGAGCACCTCTCCCGCAGCCCCGTTAAACCGGGGACGGTCGCGCAAGCCGTGGCTGAAGGGCTGCGGGCCCAGGCGGCAGCGCGGACCCCGGGCCGCGCCCTCGGCCAGCGGGCGCTCCAAGGTCAGAGCTCGAACCCAGCTCGCGGCCGCGGCGGCGCAGATGGAGCCGGGCCGGATGCTGCGGGGCGGCACACAGGCCGCGACCCGGCGGCGGCCTCCGAGCCCCGAGCCCCCGCCAGCCGGCCTCAATGTCACCGGACTCCGAGGCCCAACCACCGCTCCCTCCTGGCGCCCGGGGGCCGAGCCGCGAGCACACTCGCCCGCTGCCTCCGGGCCCCTGGCCCTCCCCGGCCCCGCGGCGACGGCCGCCTGCAGCCCGCCGACCGCTCACCTGCCGCTGCCACCCGCCGCTGCCCGCCGCGACCGCCACGACCGCCCTCTGTGCCCCGGTTGCCCGCGACCGGAAGAGACCGAGGGCGCACGCGGAGCACCACGGGATCGAGGAGGACCCGGCGGCGCCGGAGGTCACCCAAACGGAAGCGGGGAAGCGCCGCGAGCGTCGTAAAAGGCCGAGCCGGACCGCTTTACGGCGGCGCCGAGAGACCGCTTTACGGCGGCGCGCGGCCAGAAGCGCGAGTGGAGAGTGAGGCTGGCGCGTCGGCTTCTCCCAAGCGGGAGTCGGTGTGTGAGGAGCCCCGTCCGTAGCCGGGCCGGGCCTCTGCGGACCTCCACCGGCCGCAGGGCCGCGCCGGGCGGCCGCCGCCTCGTCCCGGTTCTCCGCTGAGGCGCGCGCGGCCGGGCGGGGATCCAGGCCTCAGCCGGCGCCAGGGCCTCCCGGGCCCTGCGGGGCTCAGCATGCCCGGGGTGAAGCTCACCACCCAGGCTTACTGCAAGATGGTGCTGCACGGCGCCAAGTACCCCCACTGCGCCGTCAACGGACTGCTGGTGGCCGAGAAGCAGAAACCGCGCAAGGAGCACCTGCCCCTGGGCGGCCCGGGCGCCCACCACACCCTCTTCGTGGACTGTATCCCCCTTTTCCACGGCACCCTGGCCCTCGCCCCCATGCTGGAGGTGGCCCTTACCCTGGTAAGCGCGGGAAGAGCGGCCTCCCCTCCCCTCGGAGTCTGCGGGTGAGGAGATCGTCTTCGGGGCCGTCCCACTGGACGCCCCCCCCCCCCCACGGTCGCCGGTCGCCGGCGACTGCCTGCAGGGCTTCCAGCTGACCTGGAACCTAGTACCCCGCGGGCGCACGGGGAGCGCTCCGCACGGGGCAGCTGGTGGAGCAGCAGCCGTGGCGGGCGCTCTTAGGGACGCGTTAGGTGGCGAGTCCAGTTCACTTCCTCGAGCCCGTAGGCTTTTTGGAAACGAGCCGCCGCTAACGGGGGCCGTGGCTCCGCAGAGTTTCTGTCGGGGATTTGGATGTGTTGGGACTTAGACGCCGGAGCTTGGTTCCCGCGCACCGTCACCGAGCACATACCTTGTGTGCCGCGAGTGTAGACGCTGTGGTTCTGGGTACCTTAGTACTCCGCACCCCCAGAGTCGAGACACGTTTAGGAGGGTAGCGGTGGCTTGGCGGGCGCTCGTCCCCTTGAATGTGCGTGGGCACTGCGTAAGGAGAGTGGCCTCGTCCTCAGTAATGACTTCGCTACCCTGCGCCCTTGGGTTTGTTTACTTATTTAAGTAAGCTCTCTGCCCACCGTGGGGCTCGAACTCGGCTCCGCGAGATCAAGAGTCGCGCGCTCCGCCGACTGAGCCAGCCGGGCTCCCCCTAGAATGCACCCAGGCTTTCACACTCGAAGGACTCCCTGTGACATTAGAAAGACCTTTTAGCCACCGCTCTGAGGTGACTACCACTGCTTTATTGCAGTGCGGCAGGGGAGAGCTTTAGCATACAGATCAGCTGGCTGGTGACGGAGTTCCAGGCAGTGGCTTCTGGGTGTTGATCAGTGGAGGAAAAGAGAAGACTTGTAAGTTCCACCGAGTTGTTAAAACCTCAGGGGAACATAACCTGTAACCTCAGAGCTGTCTCAGTGCCTGAGTTGAGATACTGTTCACTTTTCACTTAAGTATAACCCTAAAAAAAGCTACTTAGTTCATAGAGAAAGTAGTAAGTTTGAGGTGTAGGTAGAGATCCTTTGTCTATATTTCACACCAAGCAAAAGGAACCCGTTTCATAATTCACCTAATTATGACGCCCATGTAAGCAGGAAGTACCCCTGGGCAGACGGTCCTGCCCTAAGGTTACAGGGCACATCTTTGAGTGCCTGTTAAACTGAGCCATTTTATGATTTTCATCATATCATCTCTGGAGCAGAGATGGGTAGGATGTAGATACTTGGAAAATCAATCATTTTAGCTCTTGAAGAAATGTGCTGTCGGTACCAAGTCCTCACTGGGGTGTGCATGTGTATGTTTTGATGCAAGTCTTTTCATCCATCTGCCTTAATTATTCTGTTCTCAGGGGAATTGCAGGGTGATTGGATATGTGAAGTGCAGTCACTTGCAGGGAACTAGATTTACCAGGAGCATTAATGCAGGATTATTCAGTTTTCCAACAGTGTGCCAGGTCTGTGCTGGGAGAGGGCTGTGGCTGTGGATCCCAACACCTGCTTAGCACTTGAACTTGCAGGAAGCAGAAAGTACAATACCAAAGAATAAATGCTATATGTGGGCTTAAGCAAAATGGTGAGAGGTCCATAGCTAACGCAGGCTTCCAGAGTGGGGGAAGGCAGGCAGCCTGGAGAAGTGGGGGTGCAAAGGAGTGACACCGTGGGCCAGCCATAGTGATAGGGGGTGGGGAGGGGGGAGGTGAAGGGGGAGCATTCAAGACAAAGGGACCAGTGTGTGCAAAGACCAGGAGGAAATGGGGGAGGGGGAGCTAGAGTGTAAAGGGACCAGGGGCAGAGGTGATCAGTGGACAGACTTCATCGTACAGCAACTTGCAGATCACACAAAGAAGCTGGGGCACCGTCATGAGGACAAAGGGAAGCCACTGGAGGAGAGTTGCACAGTTGGATTTGCGTCTCAGTGATCGCTCCAGCCTGCAGCAAGGAGACAGAGTGCATACAAGACCGGAGGCAGAGAGGTGGCCTACACTGAGTGCAGTGAGGATGCAGAGGAGAGAGAGAAACGGGAAGAATCCACAAGACTCGGTGATTAATCATTATGTGGCGAGAGGGAGAAGGAAACAAGGGAGACGCCTCGGTGTCTGATTTATGGATTGGACGACAGTGGTACCATTTATTGAGGGAAAATGAAGATGAACTAGTGTTGAATGTTGAAAAGTGGGTCTGGAGTGGAGAAGATGGATGGGATGGAGACGTAGATTGAGAATCGGTAGCTTCTCAATGACTGTTGAAGCAGGGAGAGCAGGCCATATTGGCAGGGCAGCATGTGGGATGAGGAGGGAGCTATGGACAGACCCTGAGAACTTCTACAGGGTGGATAAAGAAGAGAGTCGGGCAGGCTAGCTGAGGAATAGCCAGAGGGAGAGGTGTGTTGCATTAAATCCATTTAAAATCCTGTCAGAAATATCTAAGCATCTTAAAGACAAACTTGAATCTCAGTTGGAATTGTTGAAGTATTATTAGCACTCCTCATTCTTAAGTAGACTTTACAGAATTAAAGTGTTATGTTACTATTGTAGATATAAATGCAGTACTTGAGGGAATTAAACATAAGAACTATATAAACAACTGCCCTGGAGCAGAGCTGCCTCCCAAACCATTCACTAGGGAGGGAAGATGCCCAGAGGAGACCTTGACTCTTTTTTTTTTTTTAAGATTTTATTTATTTATTCATGAGAAAGAGAGAGAGAGGCAGAGGCAGAGGGAGAAGCAGGCTCCCTGCCGAGCAGGGAGCCCGGATGTGGGACTCGATTCCAGGACCCTGGGATCATGACCTGAGCTGAAGGCAGACGCTTAACCGACTGAGCCACCCAGGCGTCCTGAGACCTTGACTCTTAAAATGGCCCACTGCGATCATCCTTTAAGAGGGAGAGGGGCACTGCATGAGGCCCTGTTTTGGTCTTGCTCTCCTGTATCACTGCACTCTGCCCTCACTCTCGGCTTGCAGCACTTCCCCAGACATGCCCATCAGTGTTTGAGGCTCCCATCCTGCAAAGTTAAGTCTAAACTAGATTCTGTGCAACTTTTTTTTTTTTTTTAAGTAGGCTCCACACCCAGCGTGGAGCCCAACTCAGAGCTTGAACTCACAATCCTGAGATCAAGACCTGAGCTGGGATGAAGAGTCAGATACTTAACCGACTGAGCCACCCAGGCACCCACATCTTGAAAAATTTTTATTACATTTAAGGTATTTATGTTTGTGCCATTCAGCTTTTGACTTAGCAACTTTATAACCTGAAGGCAATGATCTCAGCATATCGGCCATAGTTTATCAAAATATCAGCTATGGTAGATGTGATTTTACTAAGGCTTCTAAATCCATGAAACTGTATAAATGAGGCTTTATTCTCGTGGCTTTTTTCTCTTCAGGGAGTTTCATATTGTAGTTATTTTTAGTAAGTGGGAAAGACTGACTTGATATGCAGTCCATCAAAGGGCAGCATCAGATTCCTTTGAAAAGCTTTTCATTATAATTTTCCATTTAAAAAAAAATCCTTGCATTTCTGGGTGCGTTTTGTTTTGTTTTTTAAGTACTTACGCCTATTATTTATCCTAATAACCATAGGTAGTGACGTAGGTAGTGACAGAATTATTTCTAATAGCAAAAACCTATAAAATGTTAGCAGGAAAATTAGCATAGATCTGCTGTTTCTGTAATCCCTTTTTGTCCTTTTCCCCTCATTGATTTCCTGGTTCTGTGGAGCAGCTTCTGATTACATTCTGCTGAGATGACTTTCTTATTTGCCGATTGGTCTCATCACCTTGATTTCAGCCCAGAATTCTTTCTGCTGCGTCCATGTGTGCCTTCTCTGTGCACATTTGCATGGGCTACTGTCCTCTAGTGCTTTCCTAAGCCCCTACTTATTCTGTCCCGTGTTATCTCCAGAACGTTGATGTGCTAGCTTGGAAGAGGGAGACAGCTGCTCTGGTCCTCTTTTCGGTTCTCCCCACTGAATTTCACCCTCTCCCCATCCCATTTACCTCCAGAGCTCTTCTTTCATGGCTCCAGCTCCTTCCCGTTCCATAGAAAAACCAGCATCCCACTTGAGAAGGAGCTTTTCTTCTCAGTGAGTCTAGCAAGCCCTCTCCTTAGGCTCCCAAGGCCTGCTTGTTGCTACAGAGAGCAAGGCTTACAGACACCCTCAGCTTTTAAGTGGCAAGTGTGGGAGTGCCACCCTCCTCAGAATGGCTCTTATCAGTTCTCTCTTACGGGCTTTGTGGCGATGGCGTAGTCACAGGAGGTAGGTAATAGTGCTTTGGAAAATGTGTAGTGTCACACATGCAAATGCCGGCAAGTGCGGAGAGAAGCTGGTTTCTTTGTGCAGAGCTGAACTGGGAATGAACAAGTAGGGCCTGGTGCCTTTAGTAGTTCTCCTGTGTGTCTGAGATGGAAC